TTCTGTGGGTGAGAGACCTAGCCATCTGCTCCCGTAAAGATAACGGTTTTGCTCTGTCCCATGGAGTCACTATGAGTCAGAGTCAACGCCACAGCATCGACGACCAACAGTCTGTATGGAAGCAGGTCACAGGCGTTTGTTTCATGGTGCAGCTGAGTGGTTCGAGCCACCACCCTTCTGATTACCAGCCAGGCACAAAGCCTGTGCGCCCCTCAGGGACCTACGGGTCAGCCAGGCCGTCTCAGACCTGGCCTGCGGAGTGGTTACACAGGAAGGCACACTGCAAGGTGCTCAGGCAGGGGCCTGCACCCTGCCTGGAGGCCCCCCAGAAATCGCGGTTCCGCTCACTTCCCTAAGGGTCACCTAGTGCAGTGGCTCTTGGGCCACCTCTAAATGTCATTCCCAGTGTGGCCAGTAGGTGGAGCAATGGCTACGGAAGGCCCTCCAGAGAGCTGCCACTCCTGGGGGGGGACCAGCACTGGGGTACTGGGTGCCCATGCAGTTAAGCCCCTCTGCGGGCCAGGCCCGGTGCTGGAGTGACAGAAGGGAGTAAGGTCTGGTTGCTGCCCTGAAGGGAGACAGACCTGTCCCTATGGTATCACTTCCTGACCCCACACTGCTGACTAGGAGGGCAGGCGCCTCCTATATATTTTCACAGACCGTTGTCCTGGGCTTTCTTGGTTCATCTCACCACAATACTGTAATCTTGTATGACAGGTGCTGCAATCATACGTATTCACGTGACTATTACATGGTCAGAGGAGCTGTGGTAGCACAGTGCCTAAGGCATCTGACTGCTAACCAGAAGGCTGGCGGTTCAAACCCACCAGCCACTCCTCAGAAGGAAGGTTGAGCAATCTACTTCCATAGAGATACGGCCTCAGAAACCCAAGGAGGGGTTGCTGTGAGTCGAATCCACTCAACGGCAGCCAAGTTTGATTTTTTTATTACGTGGTCATGAGCCAGGCAGGGCCGGGCCTGTATCAGTCACCACTGTGTCCCCAGCCGGGCCCAGCATAGGCTCCAGAGAATGTCTGTTGAATTAACAAATGAACAAGTCACTAGAGACGGGGGATGGTAGACACCAGGAGCGCAGCGATAGGATGCCACATGGGAGATTGGGTTTGATTCCTGGCTGGTGCGCCCCTCGCGTCCATCAGGGGAGGCTTATATGTCGCTGTGCTGCTGACCACGTTTCAGCAGAGCTTCCAGACTGAGATGAGGAGAAAAGGCCTGGCACTCTACTTCGAAAAATAAGCCAACAAAATCCCTCCGGGTCACAACAGTCCAGTCAGCACCCCGTCAAGGAAACAGTGCAAGACCAGACGGCATTTGGTTCCGTGGTGCACGAGATCAGTGTGAGTCAGAGCCAAGCCGAACTGTGAGCAAGACAAACCCTCTTTACTTGGCTCACTTTCCTTCAAACCTCAAGTCCCAGTTCAGCTGTCCCCTCCTCCAGGAAGCCCTCCCTGACACCCCCATCTGTTCTGCCCACTGGGAGTCATCACTGTCTGGAGACAAGTCTGTCTTCTCCACGGGGACTGTGAGCCTAGAGGGCACGGCCATGGGTGTCTCTGTCACCTTTGTGTTCCCCAACGTCACAGCGACAAGACCTGACAGGCAGTAAGCCCCCAGTAAGCTGAAGAAACGAATGTGGGACGTCAGGCTGCATCAGGTGCCGTTAACGGAGCCGAGCGCAGCTGGAGGGAGTGCGTGCATCCTCCAGGAGGAGGACCTGGGAGGGCAGAGGCGCTTCTGACGGATGGGGAAGGCCCAACAGTTGTTCCAGGAAGCGTGGGCTCAGTGAACCTGAAAGGTCACGCAGTCCCACTGAAAGGTCAGGTGGGGGGCGGCACTGTGTGGGTGGGGGTTGGCACTACAGCCTGCAAGTCAATTCCAACGCAGGGCAACACCCACGTGTGTTGGAGTAAACTATTCTGACGGGATTTCAGTGGCTGTGGCCCATCAAAAGGGAGCCCTGGTGGCACAGTGGTTAAAGCGCCCAGCTAAAATAATAGACAGGCATAGGGGCTGAACATTTCCATCGGGTAGATAAACTCCTTGGAGAGGCCAATCATGGGCAAACAGAAGGGCAGTGTTTGCACAGGGAGACAGCTTGGGGACAGGCGCGCATGGGAGGGAAGGACGCAGGGAAGAGGCAACTATGGGGAGGAAGTGGGAGGGAGCTGTTAACACCGCGGGGAATTACAGTCAGTGTCCTGAGACAAAACGTGTATGAACTGCTGCGTGAAAAATGAATTTGTAAACTTTCACCCAAATCACAAAATAATTTTAAAAATAAAAATAATAATAAAGCACCCAGCTGGCTATGCATAAGGTCAGCAGTTCAAACCCATCAGGCGCTCCATGGGAGAAAGATGAGGCAGTCAACTTCCGTGAAGATGGCTACTGCCATGTGCCATTGAGTCAATTCCGACTCACAGCATCTCTCCAGGACACAGCAGAACCGCCCCACAGGGTTTACAAGGCTGTCATCTTTACAGAAGGCAGACTGTAAAAAGGCCACATCTTTCTCCCAAGGCGCGGCTGGTGGGTTCGAACCAGCCACCTTCTGGTTAGTGGCCGAGTGCTTTAACACTCCGCCACCACAGTGCCCGGCTGATCATTTTAACCATTTTAAAGTGGATAACTTGGAGGTCTTCACCAAGTTCACCGTGTATGCCGCCATCACCGCGGGCTCATTCCCCAACCTCTTCATTGCCCCCAAAAAGAAACCCGCACCCACTAAAGAGGGCTGCTGACCTGTGTCGGACCCTCTCGGGCGCTCCTCGCCCTTTCATGGGATTTGAAACAACGTGGTGACTGAAAAAACCAAGGTCAAAACAACAGAGCAAAGCGCAGCACTGTTTGCAGCCCACATCTGCCCGGGTCACAAGAGACAACAAGGAGGACAGGGCATAACAGTCCCGTTTACTGAGGGCCGCCTCTCGTGTGTAAATTGCTTTTCCAGGGGATCCACTTAACCCTCCGCCAACCTGTGGGCTGAGCTGACCGCTTGATGCTTATCACCGCTCTACAAGAAAGGAAACCGAGGTCCAGACAAGGCGGGTAGATGAAGATGGGAGACAGGCCTGCTCCCCTCCTGCCTGGCTCCCTGCTCGCTGGGGACCCGCCAGGCGGCTGCCTCTCTGAACTGAACAGCAGTGCCTGTGAGGCTGTGGGGAGGACGGAGGAAGCGCTCCCAGCCTGGTGCTCCCAACCTTCCTTGCTCCTGTCCCTGAAGGAGGTACCCGGGGGTGCAGAGGCATCGTCTGAACCCACAAAACAAACAGGCAGGCAGTGTGGAGTGTTTCCCATTTGCCCTAACAGCCCCCTAAGGGCCAATTCTCTTTTAGGCTGGTCCCCTCACTCCCATGGCCCCTTGAACCCAGGCCTCTCTGAGGGTAGGAAACAGCAATCACAAGCAGGGAACGGGGTAGAGAGCTGGCAGTCACCCCAGTGGGGGCCAGCGCAGGGATCTTTGGCCCCATTTGGCCCCAACACCAGGCAGGCAGCCTCGGTGCCCAATGAGTATTAGTTGAGCGAATGAATGAAGAAAGTTGTGTGAGGGCTCCAAGGACCATGACATGAGGCCAGGCTTGGGAAGGAAGACCCTGGGGACAGGCAGAGGACTTAGGGCCATGTTCTTGGGTGGTCCCTGGTGTTACGGGTTGAGTTGTGTCCCAGTCATTCAAAGGTATGTTGAAGTCCTAATCCCCGGTACCAGTGAACATGACCTTGTTTGAAACAGGGTCTTAGATGATGTAACCAGTTAGCAGGAAGTCACACTGGAGTAGGGTGGACCCTAATCCAATGAGCAGTGTCCCGTGAGAGACACGGAGACGCAAACACAGAGGGAAGACACCACATGCAGACGGAGGCAGAGGTGGGCGTGACGCATCCACGAGCCAAGCAATGTCCGGGACTGTGGGCAACCACCCGAAGCTCCAGGGGGCCTGGGGGACCTTCCCCTGCAGCCTCAGAGGGAACACAGCCCTGCAGGTACCTTGACTTTGGACTTCCAGCCTCCAGAGCTGTGAAGACAGTGAATTTCCATTGTTTCAAGCCACCCAGTTTGTGGGACTCTGTTACAGTGACCCTACGGCTGTTACAATTACACCTGGGGCTGCAGCCCACACCCCTTCAGCCACCGGCCCCCACAGCCCCTCACCTGTGCCCCACTGTCCACCTGTGACATCCCTAGAGTTTCTCAGGCCTTTTCAGATCATGCCACCCACGATGCAGCAGTGTCCCCTGCCTCTCACCTCCCCTTGGGGTGCCAGGTCTGCTGACTCCCAAGCTAGGGTCCCAAGTCTGGAGGGAGGCAGAGAGCAGGGGTGTCAGGGCGTTCTGAGAATCTTCCGGTCCTTGAAGAGGCTTGTAGAGGTCAGGGCATCCCCTCGGGATTTGGGGGGACAGCCGGGACACCCTGGATAGATCAGGATCGGAGCCGGGAGCTTAACCCCAGCAGACTCGAGCATGCGAAAAGCTACTGGGAACCTTCCCGCCGTCTAAATGTTTAGACAGTGAGATGGATGGGGAGCCAGGGCCAGGAGGGCCACCCAGGCCCCCAGTTATTTTGGGAGAACGATTCTTTCTGTGTTCCAGGATAAACTTTCCCTCACTCGCTCTGAGAGCCTCCAGCAGCAGCCCTGAAGGAGAAGAAATAGCAGCTGATCACCCCCAGAATTTGGGGGTGCAGGGTTCTGGCCGGCCAAGGCTCCAGGGTTCAACCTTCTGCTGACCCCTCTTGCAGCCTGCAGCCATGTCCCTGGGTAGTGCCAAGGATTAACCCAGTCAGCTACTAACCAAAAGGCTGCAGGTTCAAAGTCCCCCCATATTGCCTCAGAGAAAGGCCTGGTGACTGCCCCCAAAGTCAGCCATTGAAAACCCTCTGGAGCTCAGTGCTACTCGGACACAGACGGGGCCGCCGTCAGTCAGAAGCAGCTCCAAGGCTCCAGGAAGCCAGGCTGGAGACGGATGACAGGGCCACTAAGCCGTCAGCACAGAGAGCAGGCTGCGGCGGGCTCGGCCTTGGAGCCCGTTCCCCCGAGGCCGCCAGATCCCTGCGCGAGAGGTGAAGCGGCCACGCGGCCCTCGCCCCAGGCTGACATAGGCACCCAGCTCCCCTCCTTGCCCTCCAGGACTGGGGGGGGCCTTGAGTCCTTCCGCGAGGCGGGCTGGGCAAAGGGCGTTTGCAAGTCTCCGCTGGCAGCCGGGGGGCCCAGGCCGCAGAGCCAGACCCGGAGGCGCTGGAACACAGCCTTGCGGAAGAGAATGAAGACCCAGGGATCCAGGATGGGGTTGAAGGCGGTGAAGCGGAAGGCGAGGAGGTCCCCCATCTCGCTGCTGTCCGGGGCGATGGCCTGCGTGAAGCCGCGGATCTGGAGGCGGGACGAGGCGTCAGAAGGAACCGAGAATCCCCTGCTCCCCCCCACGGGCCCCCCCAGCACCCCGCATCCTGCTTGCTCCCTGAATGAAGAAAAGGGCACTGCGTAAGTCAGCGGGGGAAGGAAGTAAGATAAGATGAATGAATACGCAATAACCAGTGCATCCGTGCGCAGAGGCACTGAAGCCCCCCGGAGGCCTGGCGAGAGGGAGGAAGGTGAGGGGCTGTGTCTGGGGGGCTCCTGGCGCCCCGGGAATCTGCGGACTCTTTGGTGTCTAAACCTGCTGCCGCCTGGAGTCAAATCTGACGCACAGGGACTCTATAGGGCAGAATAGAACCGCCCCACAGGGATTCCAGGTTGTAATGTTTAAGGAAGGAAACTACCACATCTTTCGTCTTTCTCCCAGGAGCGGGGTTGGTGCGTTCCAACCCCAGACCTTTCCATTACCAGCCGAGTGCTTAACCACGGTGCCACCAGGGCTCCCTTCTGCGCTCTCTGTTGTTGTTGTTGTTATGTGCCGTCGAGTCGGCCCCGACTCATAGCGACCCCTCCTTGGGTTTCCGAGGCAGTATCACTACGGAAGTAGGATTGCCCAACCTTCCTTCCGAGGAGTGGCTGGTGGGTTTGAACCGCCAGCCTTCTGGTTAGCAGTCAAGTGCTTTAGCCACTATGCTACCAGAGCTCCTCTAGGCCCCCTGAAACCCCCTGCAGAATTGCTATGTCCGCGTGTGGGGTCCACACCTCTTTCTGGTCTCTGAGTCACGCATAACCCACAGCAGGTCTGAGGACCCTCCAAATGTGGCCTAGCCCCTGGAAAACAGGCCTGGAGTATTACGTGGGTGGGGGGGGAGACACATCTGAGTGTGTCCCACAGGCCACTGAACCCGGAGCAGGAGGGGAGTGGCTGCAGCCCCTGCAGGAAGCAGGGTTGAAGAAGGGAGAGTCAAACCACAGAGCAGAAGGGTGGAACTGACATGGGGAAGCAGGGAGTGGGGGGAGGGGGAAGTCAAGCTCTGAAACTGGGGACCCAGGGACCCTGGCTCTGTGTGAGAGTGGACAAGAGTCCATAGCCCCTCAGCTGCAGAATGGTGCCAGGACAGAACACGGTTCCCTTCTCCTGGCAAACGCTGGCTGGGGGAGTGGGTGGATGAGGTCATCTTGAAGACTGCGAAGGTGTCTGTAAGTCCCCAAGCAGCGTCGGGGGCAAGGACCCCTGCTGACACAAGGGTAAGCGCTGGGCTGCTAAAATCCAAATAGTTCGATCCCACACAATAGCCACCAGAGAAAGACGCCGTGAGCTGCTCCCATACAGACGACAGCACCGGAAACCCTATGGAGCAGTTCTGCTCTGACAGGTGGAGGCACTATGAGCTGGAACTGAGCCAACCGCACACAACAAGGAGCACGCGGCAGGCACAGACCACGTGCTCCGTGGACGGTGGGTCTTATTTACAAGGAGTCTTCCCTGGAGGGTACAAACGGTTAAGCACTCAACCAGGAGCCAAAAGGCTGCTGGTTCGAATCAACCCAGAGGCGCCCCGGAAGAAAGCCCTGGCAATCTGGCTCTAAAAGGCCTTAAAACCTTTGTGGAGCGGTTCTGACGCACACGGGGTCACGTGAGTGGAAATCAAATCCAGGCAACTAACAACAGCATTACAGTGGGTGGGGGTCATTGTGATTGTGGGGGAGGGGCAAGAGACACCTGGCCATGTGGCAGAGGAGAGACGAGGGGCTACAAGGGAGGTAAGTGGGGACACGGCCAAGTGGGGAGGTCTTGCCCCTTCGGAGTCTCAGTCTTCCCGTGTTCTTACGCGTGGGATGGGGCACAGCCAGGCGCCACCTTCTGCCCCGCCCACCTGTCCCGGCTGCAGAGGGGACTCACCGTGAGTGGCAGGGAGCACACGGCCATGATCCCGGTCATGAGCGCCAGCAGGACCAGATAGTCCACCTCGTCCTCGCCCGCCCGGGGCCCGGGCGCCACTGAGCTCTGGTGGCGCCTCTGGTGGCGGTACATGCGGCAGAGGCTGAGGGTGACCGAGCCGTTGCAAAAGAAGATGGCGGCCACCAGCAGCGCCACGAGGCTGGCGTAGGCCAATGAGAAGGCGCAGCTGCCCGGCTCGGCTGCGCGCATGCGGATGAAGCACCAGCTGCCGGGGCAGTACTGCTGGTGGCGCCCCAGGCCCAGCAGGGGCAGTGAGCAGAAGACGGTGCAGAAGGCGTAGATGGCGGGCAGCGCCAGGCGGGCGCAGCGCGGCCCGTCGAGCTGGGCGTACAGGTAGGGGTGGCTGAGCGCCAGGCAGCGCTCCACCGCCATGGCGAACAGGATGAGCGTGGAGGCCAGGACGAAGAAGGTCATGGCGAAGGCGAAGGCGTTGCAGAGGGCCGGGCCTCCCCGGGCCAGGCCCAGCAGCGAGCTGTTGCGGGCGTAGGCCACGAACACGGCGGGGCTCAGAAAGCACGTGCCCAGCAGGTCGGTGCCCGCCAGCCCCGTGACCAGCACTGCAAACGCCGAGGGGCGTGACCGGCGCCGCGTCCCTAAGATGCCCAAGGCCAGCCCGTTGCCCACCACGCCCGCCACGAACATCAGGGTGCTGGTGGCCGGGCCCACTGAGCCCCGGACGTAGGTGAGGTTTCGGCAGGAATCCGCCATGCTCGGCCTGCGTTTGTCTGCGGGGCCTGGACCGACGTCGAGGAGGGTCCCCAAGGGTGGGAGGTGGGTGGGCGAGGAAGGAGGGGCCGGGCGCTGATTGGGCTGCTCGTGTGGCCACACCCCAGCCCACTCAGACGCCCACCACCTGCAGCCTCCCCGGGGTACGCATGGCAGCAGGGGGGCGGTGTCTGTCTGGTGTCTGCTTGTCTCCCCGCCTGCCCCCAGCTCCCTGCGTGTGTGCGTGTCTCTGTGTGTGTGGTATCGGTCTGTCTGTCTCTCCCCTCAGTCTTTCCCAGTCTCTCTGTCGCAGTCCTGCTCTCTGCAAGTGCCCCGAGTTCTTTCCTCCTCCGTTTCTTGCTACTCGCTGTCTCTGTCCCCTGCCCTGTCCACCCACTCAGCCGCCTCCCCTGCCAGTCACCTACCACTTCTCTGCACCTCTGATATCTCAGCCCGTCCTGACCGCACCTCTGGTCTCCAGTCTCTGTCTCTCTCTCTCCTTTGGTCCAGCTACGCGTGTCACTGGCTTCTCTCTCCTCCCTCCCATCTCACCCTCGCCCTAGCTTTTTCATTTCCTCTCTCTGCCCCGCCCTCCTTCACCCGCTGTCTCCCTCCCCTCCTCTGCCCGCTCCCCCATCACCCTGCGGCCCCCTCAGCCTCTGCAACCATCCCTGCCCCGCCTCCCCTCCCTGCGGCCTCTCTCAGCCCTGGGTCCCCACCACCTTTCAGCCACCTGCCACCACCCCATTACCAGGTCTGAGCCCTTCTCCAGGGACCCCTTGTCTCCGGCTCCCAGGTAGGGATGACAAGTGAGGACCACGGAGTCGGCCCCACATGGAACCTGGAGCCCACCAGCGGGGCCAGGATGGGGCCCAGCTGCCCAGTCCTTGAGGGGGTGGCAGGGCCTGGCCATCTGGAGTGGCCTCCTGGGTTTATTCTGGGCTCAGCCCCGGGGTTAGAACATGGCTCAGGGATTGAGAAATGACCAGGAAATTCCTTCCTGATTCACTGTTTTCCAGGCATCACCAACATTTCTGTTCCCTGGACACCGTTCACTCCTTCCAGAGGCTGAGGAAGGAGATGGCCGGCCAGAGAAAAAAAAAGCCAATCTCTGGAGCCCTGTGCTGGGGCTCCTGGCTCACACACCCAGCCGCCGCGTCCTGAAAAGGCAGCAGTGGGAGAGACCAGGGAGAAGAGATCTGGTGTCCAGTCGGGACAGACCGGAGGCCAGAGGCCATCCGTGACCCATCCTCAGAGGGGATCCTTCCCACCCTCTCACTTCTCCCCACAGCACTCCCAGGCTCCAGGCCAAGGTCTGGTGACTTCCAGAAATAATATTTTAGCTGCAGATGGCAGTCCGGGGCTTGGCGGTCACTGACACACTGATTTCTCCCACTACACCCCCCCAAAACCCACCACGCAGACGTCGCCACCCTTGGGCCGGCCTGGTCAGCGTGCTTGTCCCAGCTGCTGGTAACAGGGCAGTACTCAGAGCCCACTCAGTCAGTCCCTGACTTCCCACACAGCCTCTTGGCCCTTCAGGGCTAAATGACACTTTGGGGACCCTCTTAAAAAAAAAAAAAAAAAGCTGCTGTCAAATCGATTCCACCTCATGGCAACCCGATGTCTTACAGGGTAGAACTGTTCCCCATGAGGTTTTCTTGGCTGAAGTAGACTGCCAGGTCTTTCTTCCGTGGCCCCTCTGGGTGGGTTTGAACCACCACTCTAGGTTCACAGTCCATCTTAAACCATCGGTTTAAGAGAGACTTGGAGGCCCTCTCAAACACTCCCTGTTTTTCAGCAAGGCAATTTAAGTGCAGAAATTACAAGACTCGGGGTCTGGCATGCACTTAACTTGGTTTCCTGTCTCAATTCATCCACTTGCCTGCTCTGTGGTGGCCCTAGGTAAGAGCAGGAAGCAGGTGTATCTCAGTTTTCTCATCTGTACAATGGGGTGACGCTGGCCCATTGGGCGGCCGTGGCCAGCACCCCATCCAAGGGGGTCTTGTGACACAGAGCCCGCGCAGCTGGGTCCAGAAGGCATGTTCCTGAGCCCAGAGACTGCACCAGTGGGCAGCTGCTGCTGTCCCCTCCCCCGCCTGGGGACCACAGCCCCCTCCCTCTGGCTCCATCTCCCTATCACCCATGCCCAGCCGACTTTGCCAGCTTCCGGCAATGTGAGTGCCCGGCTCCAGACACACTAGGGACTCCCTGAGGGGCCATGCGGCCTGGCCACATGCCCGACCCCTACCCTCCGGTCCCCAGGCAGATGCAGAGGGAGCTCAGGAAGTCATATCATATTAATGAGGGATGACGCCTGGAAGGCTTAGGTCCTGTCTCCGAGTCAGAGGACTTGGGGGGCGGGGGGAGAAGGGAGCTCTGGTTGCCGGAGCTTTCTTCCCATTGGCTTCCTGCCCCTACCGGCGAGCATGGAGGCTTCAGGCATTCCACTGTGCTCCTGTCCCCAGCAGGACCTGGGATGAGCCCCATCCCCTCGCCAGGCCTCATTATCCTCACCTGGGCCGTGGAGGGGCCACGAGGCCTTGCAGGCCTGACATCCACTCTGGCATCTGTCTCAGGAGCAGATGGAGGCGGCAAGGATTGTAACTCATTTCTGACCTCAAGGGTCCCTGAGGTCCGTGCCAGTGCTAGTCATGCTTCCACTCACCCCCTGCCCAGCTGGGGCTACAGCCAGGGCCCCGGGGCCAGACCCACGGCAGGGGCCGCTGAGGATCCTGAATGCAACGGGTGTCCTTCCATAACATGCCTTGGGGTGAGGGGTCACCCCGACTGGGCTATGGGAGGGTGGCTTCCGGGGGTGCTGTGGGAAGGAACTGTGCTGGGGGGGGTGAGTCAGCAGCTCTTCCTCCACCCACTCCCAGGAACAGGGCTCAGGCCTCCCCAGAGGAACCCCAGGGCAGAGAGGAGACCAGAGACACCTGGAAGTGAGGACTGCACCCAGAAGTGGGGAGGGGGAGATGGGGACCTGAGAGAGGGTGTGGGTGCCCTGGGGCTTATGTGTAGATTGTGAACTTCACAGGTGAGTCTGTGTGTAGTTGTTTTTATCAGCATGGTGAGTGTGTGCGTGTGTGTGTGTGATTGCAGGTGCTTTCTGTGCTCTGGTGCTGAGCACAAAAATACATCCTAGTGGAGCTGGGTGTGGCCGTGTACAGTGGGAGCCCGTGTGTCTTGATGTGCATGGCCACGTCTGATGTGGGTTGTGGCAGTGCATAACCTCACATGCACGTCTTTAGAGCTACAGTTGGATTGTGGCCATTTGTGTGTGTTTGCGGCACTGGGTGGTCATTACTGTGGGTCTGCATGTTGTCTGTGGGTGTGTCTCTATTGGCATGGCTGGTTTCTGCATTGTGTGTGCATGTGTGTATATGCATGTATTGTGGACACATGGAATTCTGTGTGTGTGGATGGGTATGGCTGTGTCTATATGTAAACTGGTTCCTGCTGTGCACTGTCCATGGACATGGCTGTGTGTGTGTGCGCACGTGTGTGCTGATGTGTGTAATGTGGATTCGTGTGTCTTTACAGGCATGTATGTGTTTACACAGGTGTCTTTCACTCTGTGTGACTTCGTGGGAAAACTTTGTCTTTAGGGATATAGCTGGGTCTATTTTTTATGTCTGTGTGTGTCTATTTATTGCACATTCAAGTGTGTCTATACAGGCATGGTATCTATGAGTGTATTGCTACTCTGTGAAGTCTTGTGGATGAGTTTTTCTTTAAGGATATAGCTAGGTCTATTTGTGTGTCTGTTATGTGTTCATGTATTTCTTTAAGGCTGTGTCTCTCTGTGCATGTCTGCGAGTGTGTAAAGGGGTGTCTCATGCTGTGGGAAGAAAGGGAATTTAGAAGCTCATCTCCACCACTCACCAATCTCTAGATATGTGATTCTGGGAAAATTACATCCCATATTTGTGCTACAAGGAACCTCTACATAGACCAAGAGGTAGACATCTGAATAGAACAAGGGGATATTATATGGTTTCACATCAAGAAAGGTATGCATCAGGGCTGTATCCCTTCACCATACTTAGTCTGTAAGGAGCTCTGGTGGCGTAGTGCCTAAGGCATTTGACCACTAGCCAGAAGGCTGGCGGTTCAAACCCACCAGCTACTCCTCGGAAGGTTGGGCAATCTACCGTAGAAACCCAAGAAGGGGTCTCTATGAGTCAAATGCAACTCCATGGCAGTGAGTTTGGATTTGGTTTATTCAGTCTGTATGCTGAACAAATAATTCAAGAAGGTAGACTATATGAAGAAGAACGCAGCTTCGGGATTGGAGGAAGAGTCATTAACAACCTGCGATATGCACATGACACAATCTTGCTTGTTGAAACTGAAGAGCTGAAGCACTTTCTGATGAAGATCAATGACTACAGACTTCCATATGGATCACACTTCAACATAAAGAAAACAAAAATCCCCACAGTTGGACCAATAAGCAACACCATGATAAACAGAGAAAAGATGAAGTTGTCAAAGATTTCATTTTACTTGGATCAAGTCAATGCCCACGGAAGCAGCAGTTAAAAATCAAACAATGCATTATTGCACTGGGCACATCTGCTGCAAAGACCTCTTTAGAGGGTTCAAGAGCAACAATGTCACTTTGGAGAATAAAGTGCACCTGACCCCAGCCATGGTCTTTTCAGTCGTCTCCTGGGCATGTGAGAGCTGGGACAATGAGTGAGGAAGACCACAGATGAACTGATGCATTTGCATTGTGGTGTTGGCAAAGAATATTGAGAATACCACGGGCTGCTGGAAGAATGAATCTGTCTTGGATGAAGTGCAGTTGGAAGGCTCCTTAGAAGTGAGAACAGCCAGACCTGTGTCTTGCACTTTGGACATGTTATCAGGAGGTACCAGTCCCTGGAGAAGGCCGTCATGCTCGATAAATAGAGTCAGTGAAAAAGGGGAAAACCCTCAAGGAGATAGATTGCCACAGTGACTGCAATGACAGAGACAAGCATAGCAATGATACCGTGGGT